AAGTATCAGGCTTACCGGTACATCACGACTCGCCACTGCAAGCTCGTCATTCATGGCTCTATTTTTGTGGTGTGTCGAGCGCTTGAACAGCCACATCGCACGCACACCAACTTCCTCGGTGCATGCCCGGTGTAGCGTGTGTTGTGTGGCAGGGCAGTTTGGCGTGCAGGATGACGTACAAAGGCGCGCGTCCTTCTCTCGCTTGCATGCGGTTCCCTCACGCTATATCGTGGACCGCTAGGCTGCACCTGCTGGTGCATACACTCGATCGTCACTCACTTGATCTTCATCGCCAGAATGAGGTTTCGTGCGCACCCTGGTCGAGACAGAAGACATTCATGATTCCACTCCATCTTGGCTCTCAAGCTGATTGATCATCATCCCAATCGACATTTGCATTTGCGCCCAGCCGCAAGATGAGCAACAAGCAAATTTCGAGCCAGGGCGATTCTGGGTCCGCCCCAACTGACCCATCCGTAGATCTCGTGCTCATCTTCCAATGCGCACCTCCAGAAGCTCTCAAAGCGGGCGCAAAGCCAGACGAAGCGGCCAATGCAGAGATCAGCAAAGAGTACAGTCGCTTGATTCTAGCTCTCAAAGATGCTGGGCTCTACCACACCAGTAGAGCTGGAAAGGAAAAGGGAACCGTGCTGGTCTTTGTCAGGGCGCACGCGCACGCTTTGGTCGCCGCGCGAAGGGCAGAGAGGTGAGCCTGAGAAGAGTGTTCTTTGTACCTGTACAGCGCCTTTGATCGAATGGCTTATGGTGCATTGCGCTCTCTCGCATTCGCCTCTCACAGAATGAACGAATTCCTGCACGGCGCTGGTGCGCCTCCAGGAGCCGAGACCAGCACTGCGGCGTTCTCTGCTGCGGAAAGGTGAGCAGACTGCATTCAAAGTCCTCGGCTTTCTTCTTGTGCATGCATTCTGACCGACTGAGGATGCTTGACTCTTCACTCCGCTACATAGGATTCGATACGCGCACAGTCTGCTGACTCTACCTTCGAGATCCTCTTCGGGGACGCAAGACGGTACAGTCGTGCCTGGAGCAGGTCTGAGCATCAAGTCCAAAGAATGGCCCCATCTGCTGGACATTGCTGCACTGCATGATACCGCGTACAACAAGGCATGGATTGAGCGCTGGGGCAAGCTGGGCAGCATGCTCAGCATCAAGGATGCGGAGTGAGTACTGTAAGGTCTCCCACGGCGTCGGTCTGACCGCCGTCTGACCGCGCCGTACCTTTCGCACAGCCTGGACACACTTCGCGATCACTTCGGAGAGCAGGTCGCCCTCTACTTTGGCTTTCTGGCCTTCTACTTTAGCTCTCTCCTCGTCTTGGCTCCGATCGCGCTCTTCTTCTGGTCGAACGCCGGTCCCTTTTCAGCAAGCTATTCCGTCTTACTCGTCCTATGGGTGCTTGGCTTTACAGAGTCCTGGCGTATGCGCGAGAAGAAGCTCTCTGTCCGATGGGGGACATATGGTACAGACGTGATTGCCCAGCGTCGCAAAGATTTCAAACCAGAGACTACGAGAGTGGACAAAGCTACAGGCGAGAAAGAGGAGGTCTTTGAGTGGTGGAGAAGAGAGTCTAGAATGGCAGTCAGCATACCGGTCATGCTTTTCTTTGCTGCCCTACTCGGTGCTGTGTTGACAACCATGTTCGCGGTGGAGGTCTTTGCTACCAAACTCTACGATGGTGTCGGCGCAGCACTCGTCCCTCAGCTCCCCACAGCTCTATTTGTGGTGGCTGTGCCACAGATCATGGGGGCTTGGCAAGCTACTGCCAGCGCTCTCACCTCGTGGGAGGTGAGTTGTGGCTCCGAATGTTGTTACTGACAACCCTCTGCTTACTCCATGCCGCTCCTCAAATAGAATCACCGCAGCGCACAGAACCATGAAAGCTCCCTTACCATCAAGACTTTTGCTCTTCAAGGCTTTGTTTCCTACGGCGCCCTCACACTGTCGGCCCTGGTCTACATACCATTCGGTCAATCCATCATGAACGAGCTGTGAGTGCCACCGATCCCGCGACGCCGTTAAGAGGGCGTCTCTGAAATGCCCATGCCCCCCCCCGCTCCTCCTCAGCGTATCGCGCGGTTTCTTTGCTCAACCCATTGCACGAGCACTCAGGCGAGGCACGCTATTCCGCAATGAGCGAGGAGAAGTGGCTTTCGACATTAACCCAGCTCGTATGCACAACCAGCTCTTTGCAGTGCTCACCACAACTCAAGCTATCGGCGCCTTCACTGAGCTGGCCTTGCCCTTCATCCTGCGAAAGGTCAACGAGTATAGGGAACAGCGGGCAGAGGCTAGTAGCGGAACCAAATCGCCGAAAACGCCAGAGACCCGTTTCCTGCACCGCGCGACCACCGAGCTGGCATTGCCAACATACGAGACCTTTGGGGACTACGCAGAAATGGCTACTCAGCTTGGCTACGTGGTGCTTTGGTCCACGCTGTGGCCACTGGCACCCATCATGGCTCTTGTCAACAACTTTTTCGAGCTTCGATCTGATGCACTCAAGGTCACGCTCAACTCTCGAAGGCCCATTCCTCAGCGCACCACCACTATTGGTCCGTGGTTGGACGTGCTGAGCTTTATTGCTTGGCTGGCGGCAATGACCAACACCGCCTTGGTCTACCTCTTTGCCCAATCGCCGGAAGCTCAATTGGAAGGCCATTCGGCGTACGAGACTGTTATGCGCAGTCATCACGTGGGGCCCACTTCCAGTGGCATCACGCCATCGGGCGAAAAGATTGACGCGTCTGCTTCGCTGCCGTTCTGCTCCCTGTTGCCCAAGTTTCTGCCTTGCTCGAGCGCAGTCTCGGCGCTCGCCACTGCCCTCTTGCTCTCCCTGGTCGCCGAACGAGCGTACAGTGTTGTGAGATCTGCAGCTCAACACCTGCTGGAGCGAGCGCTCTGGAGAGGATCCGAAGAGGAGACTGTATTGCGCAGGAGGGAGTGGCAATCTAGACAGTTAGCCGTCCAGCAACACGTCTCGTCTGGTAACTCTACTGGTGCTGCTGGCCCGCTTGACATTCCTGCGAGAGACGCTAGCATCATTAGCGCCCAGGAAGCGCTGCCTGATGCTGCTTTTTGGGACCCTACCGGCGACGTTGGCCTCTCCGTGATACAACAAGCCGCTGGCAAGCGCGAGTAAGCTGAGAGACCAGAACAAGCGGAATAGCATTATTACAGGCGAAAAAAGAGACGCAAGCGGATCATCGATCCTGTCGCCAAAAGCTCGTCTTTGGCCTGCCACACCCCGATCTCGCTCCGGCTTCTGCTTTGTTCGGCCAATAATTGGAAGTGTCCATTACACAAATGCAGATGCGAACGTATGGCAGAGATTGCTGAAGGCTTGCGTGACGATACAACATGTGCGTGACTCGAGGGGAACGCTTCATTTTGAGGCCCTACTTTGCGTGCGAGATGAGAGCTGTACGCTGTACGCATCATCAACTCGTCTTGGGCTTGACACGAGCTTCAGTGCTGGGCCGCTTGTCTTTTGCAACTTTGGAGCTGCCGGAAGAGCCTAGCGCATAAGCCACAGTGCCTAGCAGAACAGCAGTGGCTCCCGCTCCGAGCTGCAAAGTGCCTTTCGCTCCCTTGTCTCCACCAGCAGCCGATCCAAAGAGGAGCAAACTGAAGGCTAGACTGACAGCTTTCCTCACGACGAGGACCAAAGTGACGGTCAAGGAAGAGACTTGAGAAGTGAGACGATTGACCCCGTTTATGCAGAGCAGCTGTGTCAAAATGTTCAGCGTCAGAGGTGGGAAGATGGAAGGGATCAAGAGACCCAAGCTTTGTCCTGGTCCTGTACCACCTCCAATGGGCGAGATGGGCGAGGGCAGGATACTAAAGACTGGCAGACTCCGAAGATTGAACGTCCCTCCTGGAGCCACTAGACGAGCAAAGGATGATGACTGCTCCACCACACTATCGAGGCTCATGCCGCCAGAGAGGGCAGGCGCAGGCGAAGATTTGACGGCATGCTGCAGCAGATTTTTCGAGGAGCTTGGGAAGGCCAAAGCGTCCGCGCTAGGTAAGCCCCAGCCTATCCACAGCATTGGTGTGCTCATCGCTCCCGTCCATTCCCTGTTGAGCTGAGCTCTTTTGAAGTAGAAGAGCGGTAAGCTGAGTGCATGAGAGTAGAACAGCATTTCTCTCCAGTGTTGAGAACCGTGCGCGGCAAATGTCATCTCTTGCCAGAGTCCCATCAGACTGCTGATGAAGAGCGCGCAGGTCAGGAGCAAGATGCCGGTAAAATAGGAGGAAGAAAGAGAAGCCGCGAGACTCTTGCTGGTGCTGCTGGTCGAACTGCTAGATGATGTCTCCGGCGTTGTCGCCAATGTTGAAAGAATGACGCCAAAGGTGACGAGAAGCACGGAGAATATCTGCAATGCAGAGTACCTGCGAAGCGAAGAGCCAGAGACAAGGCGTCGAGCCTCGTGAATATCAGAGAGATGAGCTTTGACCTTCACGTGTGCATCACTACCCACTTTCTTCCCTTTAAGAGCCAGCCTACGATCATGTTGACGACCAAACCTCCTGATCTGAAGATGATGTGGACTGGCATGGGCACATGATAAGCAAAAGCGGTGTTGTTAAGTAGGCTTGTAGCAAAGTAGAGCGAGACCTGTACGGCCCATCTGATCATTGGGACCTCGTTCCTTTTGAGCACAATGATGGGTACGCTGGCATTCTTGAAGAGGGGCATTGATATCCTGATGACTTTGAGCTGTGCTGGGAGAACTTGTAGAGAGGTGAAGAAGAAGTGCAAAAAGGTGAGGAGGGTGCCGCATTGAGGCAGAGCTCGTGTGGATAGCTCGAGGTAGTAGGCGTTGGAGCAACAACCACCGAATATGAGCGATAGTATGAATATCCATTGAGGGAGCGTAGACATGAGCATAGACCTTGTCGATGATGACGATGCTGCTCCGGATCTGGATGCTGACGTGTCATCGGAGCTGGCGCCTTGTGTCTCTGAAATGCTGCTTGAAGTGTTCCCGTCGCGCGCGAACGACCCCTCTCCGCTCGCAGCCTTTCTCTGCCTGACAGACATGCTGAGCCAGAACAGCTGCTAGCTGGGAGGACCTTTCAGCACTCGTGTCTCGTACGGCCACCTCCGCTTATGACTGCGAGGCAGACAGCTCGAGGCTCGAGGCTCGACTCGTATGATGGTGATGGTGGTGGTGGTAGTGCTGCTGCTGGGTGCGTTTCAGGATCGATGAGGGATTTGTGTAGGGTGGATGGGACCACCTGGAATGAGATCTGACTTCGGTCGGCCGGAAGGGCGGGGCCTTGGAACGTGTCGATGCACAAGCCCCTGTATATTGGTGGAATGATGACGAGAGGGCAAGGGGCTGCTCTAGCTAATCGTGTGTGACGCCTGTTGTCGGTATGACCGCTACACCTCACTCACGACTGGCTGATGATAGAGAAGAATGTATGCATGCGGGGTCTCCAAGAAAGCTCCATTCACGATTGTGAGTGTCTGACCTGACGCACATACCACGTGACTACTGATGATCTATACCAAACCGCACCGAAGCTTACACATAGACGCGTTCATGAAGGAGCACAAACTCATCAACCTACAC